AAAAAAAAAAAAAAAAAAAAAAAAACTTGTAGATCTTTTATCTCCAATACAACTTCCCTGCCTTGCCTAGTAGGATAATAGGAGATAAAGTGGGCACACAACTGGCTGGAGGAGAAGGACAGGGCAAGGGCTCATGACACAGTTCTCATAAATTAGGGAATTAGCAACTCACAACTTGGACGTTATCTATTTGCTGTGTGAAAAAATATCCTTTCCATTAGGAAAGACTGCTTCTGTTTTCTTTGGTCAGCATTTTTTGAACTCCATTCCCCCCTTTCATTAGGACCAGAGATGGGAGCCTTTTTAAAAAATACAAGAATATGAACATGTTTTCTATTATACCAAAAAGCCGAATATGTGGAAACTATCTTAGAGTTTCAGAACATCATAACACTATCTACAGAACAATCCTTATCCATCAAAAGATTAAATTGGTAAACACTTTCAGTGAGCCAGGGCAGAGGTCATATTCAAATCACTAAAGTCAGTCAGCCAATTATGCAGAGCCTGACAAGATCGTACAGTTTGAGGATGGCCTTGGTCAGGGCAAAAAGCTTCTTGCAAACCAGGATGTGCATGAATTAAGTTACAACTTACTGCCTTTGCCAAAAGAACAAAAATAAAATTCCTTCATTTTCTCCAACACATTAGAGAGTAAGACCAAATCAACAGCTAGTTTTTTTTGTCTAAATCACATTTTACTGTGTAGTTATTTAAATAACTAACACAAATTATACCAAGGAGTAATAACTTAAGGTTTTTAGCAGGAGCAAAGCAAAACTTGGATAAAAGTTTTAAAGGTGAGTTACGAGGTGAATGTCTCCCTTACCAAAAACTACTTAAGAGTTTAGAGAAGAAAAGAACTGCAAAGCTGTAGTGATTTTAAGATCTAACTAAACCAATAAGCTGTTTTTCTTAAATAAGATTTCACTTCTGAGTTACTTTTTAGTGCTTTCAGTACTGGGCCATTTTTCAACTAGCTTATACAGCCCTCAAGCTTAAAAGACCAATTCTGAACATGTAAAAATGTCTGAAAGGCCACAAACATATTTCTGAACTTTCAGACATACTTCCATCGTAAAATTTTTAGGAAAAAAGGTTTTGGGGGCATTACAAAAAACACAAAAATTTGTTATCAAAATCCTCTATCTCAGATGTAGCCATATCCTCAATGGATTATCTTCAGCTGTTTTTTCTAATTTAACATCCATGAGAAAAAAAGGAATTTTAAGTGTATATTGTAGAGTTTGGAGAACTATAAAGCTGTAGTGATCTAGATTATTCCTGAGGCATTAAAATGCACTGCTTATTACCCCAAGTTCAGCAAAAGATGGTAAATTAAAAAAAAAACTAGTTTTCAAGTATAATATACATAATGAGGGCTGGGTATGGTTGTTCACAACCTGTAATCCTAGCAGTCTGATAGGCTGAGGAAGGAAGATCACTTGAGCTCACGAGTTTGAAATTGCAATGAGCTATGATGACGTCACTGCACTCTAGCCTGAGCAACAGAGCAAGTCTGTCTTCAAAAAGAAAAAGAGAAAAGATAAAGAAACTATCACTGATCTCATTTCAGATAAATCAAGTTTACCAGGCAAATTTCTTTGCATGATTTTAAAGATTAAAATTAACAAAATGTTGTGTGAATACAGAAACAGTTGTAGGCAAACCAGAATGGAAGTTAACAAAACGTAAATGACCTTAAAATTTTAACATTTCTAATTCATACAAACTCCAATTTTTCCTGTCTTCTCAGAGAAATAAAGCCACACACATTCCTGTAAAGATATACAGGATTAAAAAATTTAGAAAGAACAGTTGATAAATCAGTTTCTGACCAACTGCTACCTCATCTAAAGAACTGTATTAACTAGTATGAAAAGTATGCCAGGCACTAAATGACAAAGCTTTCACTTACAAATGGCAGTGACATTTCAAAAGCATTTCGGGAGTCCTTAATGACACTTTTAAGGAAATATAAAAGAAAAGAATGAACAGATTCTTTCAGGAGATATTTTCAGGAGTTTCATTTTAATAATTTAAAAGGTCTGCAAATTCTAACACCAAAGCTGTCCAACTGTTCATGCTTAGGCTCCATTCACAGCATTTATATTCCAATGTTTCAGGAGGACAGTAGAAAGGCAAAAAGCAGTTAAAACTCAGCCAAATTCATATCAAGTGCTCAAGTCAAAAAGGGGATTTGACTGAATACTTCCAAAGTCTTGGATAAGACATTAGCATCTGTAGATTCGGTCATGAATCTGAAAGCAGCTCAATTCAGCTTCCCTCTTTAAAATCAGAACCTCATCTTTCTCTCACATCAATATGAATCAATTATCAGGCACCTCAAATGGCTTAGGTGAGCAAAATTAAAGCTTTATTTTAACCATTGCTTAACCACTGTACACACTCCTTCCCTCCTTCATAGGATGACACTGGAATTAGCAAGTCAAGTTCCTAGCTACTTAGGTTTGAAACCTGTCACTAACTGTGTGACCTTGGTCAAGTGACTTTGCCTTTTAGTTCCTTCTGTAAGACAAGAAAAAATATAGCACCTATATCACAAGGCTGTTGGGAGAATTGAATCCCTGACACATAGTTAAGTGCTTTAGAATTGTTAGCTATTTATTATTATAGTAAAAATGCGATGAATGCAAAGCGCTTAACATGAGATAACACTGTCTTCATGTTGAGGGAAAGCGCGAAGACATCGTCAAGATTAGGGCAACTTAAAAGGATTCGAGGGCAAGAAAAGAAAGGTTCTCACATCTCTTGAGACATGAACGTTCGTCACCAATTAACAAGAAATGTGTCCTCTGACCCCCGAATCACAAAAAATAAACATAAAAAGCGGGAAAAGAAAAAAAAACCAAGGCAGTGTAACCCACATCCCCATCAAACGGCTTCCCGAGAGAACAAGTATCACAAACTCCACCTCGCAGAGAAAAGTATGGCACACTCCGTCCAGTTGGTCGGACTGGGTCCCCCAACCTTCTCTGTCCAAAGACTGGTCCAGTTTGCAGGGGGCAAGTGGGTAGCAGCAGGAAACGTGGGGGTGGGGAGCGGAGTTTCGAAATTCCACGGACTAGAGATAAAGAAGCTGCATCCCCATGCAATGAATGAGAGAAGCCAGGATAGTCGGCGGGTGGCGCCAAGTACAGGACCCCGAGCTGGACTCCCTCCGGCTGCAGCACTCAGCCCAGCGGGCCAACTCGAGGGTTTGACTCCCCGCGGCGCTGCAAGCCAAACCGGCCTCCCAACTCACCTCCCTCGAGCCCCTAAGGGCTGCCCGCCGTCTGCTGGGCCGCCCCCCTGCCGCCCCCCTCACCTTCCAGCAGCCGTTGGATGATGCTGTCGATGTTGAGTTTATCTATATCCGCCATCGCCTTCCCACTACCGACCCTCCCGCAGCGGCGCCGCCGCCGGCTCGCGCCCGGGACTCACGCCTCCTTTCCCACGCCACGAGCAGAGGCGGTGGTGGCGGCGGTGGCCGCGTGTGTTCCTGCGCCCCCCCCCCCCCAGCCGCCCCGCTCCCTGCTTCCTCCTTCTCTCCCCACTGGAACCACGAGAAGAACAAAATGGCCGCCGACTCCTTAGCCAGCCTTGGGCGGCGCACGGATGCGCGCGGGGAGTGCAGCGGTCCGGCCGGGACTTCTTTATGGGCCATAGGGCACGCGAAGGAGGCGTGGCCAGGGCGCGGGAGGGGGCGTGGCCAGGGAGTGGGACTGGGGGACGGTTGAGAGTTACTGCGCTCGTGCGCAGGATCCTTCCGCCAAACGAGCCGAACAAATAGGCCTTCTAGCCCGAGCGTGAGTTGCAAAGTTGCACTCGCGAGTTAGGACTAGAAGCGAAAATATAGCTGGTGCCCTCCGAGGTTTGCAACCTCCGCTGGATCCCGGGGAGATTTTTACAGACCTGGCCATATGGAAACCCACCGAGGGATTTCAGGGGTCGTAGAAAGATAAATCTAGGGTGGACGTGGAGAGGGAGAATATAAAGGGAAATAGGAGCCAAGCGTTCTGGCGGGAGCCTATAGTCCCAGCTACTCCGAAGACTGAGGTTAGAGGATCGGTTGAGCCCGAAAGTTTGAGGTTGCTATGAGCTATGATGACGCCTCAGTACTCTATCCAAGGCGACAGAGTGAGACTCTGTCTCAAAAAAAATAAGAAAGAAAAGAAAAAAGGAAAAAACAGAGAGAGAGAAAGAAATAGGTTGACTTATTCTTATTTTGGATTCAGTTACGCTGGAACTTGGGAAAAGAGAAAGGTTTTTTTGGTGCTACAAAGGAAAAGAAACCTCCTCTCCCAGATGTGTCAAAATGATGTTACTCACTGTTGAGTGGTGAGAATATGGGTATTGGTATATATGTTTTTTGTGCACTTCTGTAACTTTACCTTTGAGAAAAATAATCCATTCTTAAAATTTTTTTAATCTTCTCTATCTTTGGATTATCTTTCTTGAACTCAAAAAGTTATGTAATCATCGTAGCGGTTACCCTGATTCCAACCAGGGCGAAGTTGAACGAGCTCGTGTAGCAGATAAAAGGAGAATTTGCTGATTTCTCGTGTCCGGGCCGAAGCGAGAAAAGAGGGAGTTTACAGAGGCGGGCTGTGCGGGCGGGTCCCTTGTCCTATAGACAGCCGGAGAAACTTTGGCCCATTCTCCTTCGGCTTCCAGCCCCCAAGTGCGCCCCTTTCTAAGGGGCCCCAAAACTGTGCAACCTCTCAGGGCTGCGCGTGACCTTTAGCTGGGTTTGGAAGTGCAGTCTACATATGGCGAACACATCTGTTTTTTCTGACCTTTCCGGCTCCCACGAGGATTTACAATTTGCAAAGCTCTTTCCCTCTCCAGAGAAATTCCTTTAGTTTCCCAGAGCACGCAGCATGCACGAATTTCCATCTCCGGTTGCCATCTACATGATCGCGCCGCCTAGACTTACACCTTCCCTGGCATTGCCCTCTGGCCACCCGGGCCGAGCGGCGCGGGCTCCACGACCCCTCACTACTGCCGGCTCGCTGCTGGGCGGGAGGCAGCTGAGGTTCAGGGTTCAGCCTCTCCACTTTTCCCAGCCATCAACTCCATCTCCCGTGCTATGGCTCTGTTCACCAGAAGTCATACAAGTGTGGTTTGTCAAACCAAGGTGCTGAGCCCAGGTGGTGACATTCGGGGTTAATGCCCAGCACTGCTGGGAACATCCAGCTGTGCAGGTCAAGATGACTCTCACTGGAGTTAAGAGACCTTGGTCTCCAGGGCAGGGTGCATCATCGAAATAGCATTTAGAGCAGAAATATGAAAGATAGCAATTCATTCAGCAGGCAAATATTTATGGAACACTTACTCTATGTTTGGCGTTGTCCTAGGCAGGAAAGCAAGAGTGTGCAAGACAAATCTTTTTTCTCTGTAAAGAGTCATTTAGTAAGGTGGAGGGACAATAAACAAAGGTGCAAATAAATATCAGCTTCTGATAAGTGCAGTGTGGGAAAAACATAGACAAATACTACCACATTCATTCTCTTAGTATGTGCCCCAAATTATTTCGTTGAATCCCCAAGACAGTCCTAGAACTTATGTACTATTCCTATCAATCCCCCTCTCCAGCATTTTACAGATGAACAAACTGAGGCACAGACAGACTGGGTTGTTCGCTGGAGGTCACACAGCTAGTAAGTTACAGAGCCAGGGCTAGAAGTCAGGACAGCCAGAAACCACAGCCCTTGTTTATGTTCAATAAATCCTGTAGTGAATCCTCAGCAGCTACCAGGACCCTGACACGTACTGGGCACAGGATCAATGTGGAACTAAATGGAACGATCTAAATGTGTCTCTACCCACAATGGGAGTCCTGTAATTTTCCATACACAAAATGGCAGGTGTGTCACATCATTGGGGCTGGAGGAGGACTTCAGCCTGTGGGAGAGCCTTTGTCCCCAGGCTGTTCTCCACTGGGCAACTCCCCTCCAGAGTACAGTGTGGCTGGCACATGCCAACATTATTAGCTGGCTGTGAGCCTGCAGTGGCATAACTCTCAGGGGTGAGCCTCAGCAGCACCCATTAACCAGCCAACAGCTTGTGGAGGAAAGAATTCATTGCCTATTGGCCTTTTTCTGTCATTACCAATACCAGTGTCTTCCCTAAGCCCAGGAGAAACAAACATTTTGCTGGAAAGGCTACTGCCTAATAGATGAAGTGTCCCTTCTCCTCTCTGGGCCCCAGTTTGACTATCTGTAAAATGAGGAGAGTGGATTAAAATGTGCTTTTCAAATGTTCTATCTTCTCTGACCCCACAGAGCTTTCTTAGGAGGCTGCTGAAGGCCTTAGGCAGATGATTAGATGAGAGGGGCTGTGGCTAAAATATTTGAATACCAATAGTATCTCTAATGACACTTAGACTTGGAAAGAGATCCCAGCACCTAAAGGGACCAGGCTGATCATATGAAGGAATTGAGCTGGTGGGTGGGGCTATGGCTAAATGAGCCATCTTTCATCTGAAGGGGTGGCCACCTCTCAACCCCAGACTATGGGTGCCATGTGGGACACTTGGGCCTCCTATGGCTAGATCCTCTGAGTTTTGGGTAGAACTGATGGGTTCCTGTGTAAAATGTTCTGATTTTAAATAGTTGGTTGTGAACTCAAATTGTTCTCAAACCTAGTGTGAAGGGATATTTGTGGGCTACATTTGGCCCTAGGCCAACAGTTTGGAACTCTGTTCTAGAAGGTTAGAGATGAACTCTTTCCCTTCCCTCCCCCAATTTAGTGAACATTGGGATTATTGCTAAATGATTGAAAGAAGTGTTGGTGATGACAGTTTGTTGCCTGAAAATCTGGCCCTCCCTGGATGTTCTAAAGGTTTAGTGCAAAGTAGGGAACCATGAGGGGAGGGAATATGGGTGAAAGCTCTTGGAGTTTTTTTTTGTTCTTAGATGTAGGGTTTTTTTTTTTTTAAATTTTGTAATATTACAGGGTACATACATTTTGCTGTATTTATTTATTTATTTTGAGACAGAGTTTCACTTTGTTGACCTTGGTAGAGTGCTATGGCTTCACAGCTCACAGCAACCTCAAACTCTTGGACTCAAGTGATTCTCTTGCCTCAGCCTCCTCAGTAGCTGGAATTACATGCACTTGCCATGACTCCCAGCTAGCTTTTCTATTTTATAGTAGAGATGGAGTCTCACTTTTGCTCAGGCTAGTCTCAAACTCCTGAGCTCAAGCAATCCACCTGCCTCAGCCTCCCTGAGTGGATTTCATTTTTCTAAAAAAAGCTTTTTATTTTGGAAAAATTTTGGATTTACTGAAAGGAACCATGATGGTACAAAGAGTTCCCTTATACCTTTCACTCAGTTTTCCCTTAATGTTAATGTCAACAACCGTGGCATTGCTCCTTCATTTTTCTTAATACCTTAATCATAAGGAAATGATGGATCATAGGAGGCTGAGGCAGGTGGGTTGCTTGAGCTCAGGAGTTCGAGACCAGCTTGAGCAAGAGCAAGACCGTATCTAAAAAAAAGAAACCAAAAAATTAAAAAAATAAAAATAAAAATAGAAAATCTAGCCAGGCATGGTGGTAGGTGCCTCCAGCCCCAGCTACTTGGAAGTCTAAGGCAGGAGGATTGCTTGAGCCCAAGAGCCTGAGGTTGCTATAAGCTGTGATGATGCCAAGGCACTCTACCCAGGGCAACAGAGTCAGACCGTCTCAAAAAAAATAAAAGGTGGTCATAAAATATCACATAATATCATTACCCAGAGAAAGATTACATTTTAGGGGGAGAAGGGATGAGATCTTGCTGTGTTGCCCAGGATGGTATCCTTCAGCCTCAGCCTCCTAAATAGCTGAGATTACAAAAGTATGCCATCACACCCAGCTCTGATTGTATTTTTAAAAGATCCTTTTGGGCTTGGTGCCTGTAACTCTGTGACTAGGGCACCGGCCATATACATCAGAGCTGGTGGGTTCGAATCCAGCCCAGGCCTGCCAAACAACAATGACAACTACAACTAAAAAGTACCTGGGTGTTGTGGTGGGCGCCTGTAGTCCCAGTTCCTAGGAGGCTGAGGCAAGAGAATCGCTTAAGCCCAAGAGTTGGAGGTTGCTGTGAGCTGTGACGCCATAGGACTCTACTGAGGGTGACATAGTGAGTCTCAAAAAATAAAATAAAATAAAATAAAATATCCTTTTGATGTCTGTGAGGAGACTGGACTGTAGGTGGGCAGGAGTGGAAGCTGTGAGAATGGGGAGCAGACTATTGAAAACTGTGGCTTTATTGTTGAGCCTTTTCTTATCTACAAAATGGGGACAATATCACCCATCTCAGAAAGCTGTTGTGAGAATGTAACTTCCATGATACTTAGGGAGCTACTATGTACTAGGAATAGTGATGACAATGATGATAGTGATAATGATGGCTAGCATTTACTGAGTGCTTACCATGTGCTGTTCTCTGTGCTCAGGGCCTCTAATTTCTACAGAACAAAAGTTTAGGAGTTAGGTTAGAGAGGAGAAATCATTTTAACCCAGCTATTGAGACACAGAGCCAGGATCTGAACCCAGGGAATCTGATGTCACACCTCTTACCTCCAAACAAAGAAGCTGTGTTCTTGGACATCAGAGAAGCAGATTCTTTGGGACA